GGCGAATGACAACATAAGACTCTGAGCTGAAGAAGAATTCGCACAAAGCTCACAAGGGCAAACTCTCCATGCTGACCCTCCCATTGAGGTGTTAAACTATAAGGATGCAAGAAGTTATAAAGTAGCCACTTATCAAGAGTCATTCCACTTTCTTTTTCAAGTGTCTCCTCTTTCATCTTCCCTCTGCCCCAACTATTGAATCTTGCCTTTATTCGAATCACGCTTCAACTTTCTTTACACTCTTTTCTTTTCTTTTTTTTTTTGGCGGTCTTTCTTTAGATCTGTGCCATCTCATTTATATTGAGGCTTACATCTGAGCCCTTGGAGAAATCAGGCAGTTTTTCACTGCTGAAGCATGCTAATGGCCTCTAAAAGCCCAAGTAAATCTTTGTTGATTTTAGGAAGAGGCCTTGCTCTGCTTACACAATTTTGTCTTGATTAGGATTCAATGCAGGTTACAGTAGACAGTGCAGATAAACGCCAAAGCTGAAGAGTCGACTCGTCGGATTAAAGATGTGATGCTGCAAATTTGTGTCTGTGAGGCTGCGTATACATGAGATTTGGGGAGAAAATAAAAACGATGCCGAAATCTGGCTCATCGCTGAAGCTTAGTGTCTGAGTTGTTGGCTTAATTTGACATTTTTAATGCGCTGGAATTTTAATAATGCTCAGAAATTATAATATAAACAGAGACTAATGATTCAAAACACTATCTTCTAAGCTGCTCTAATCATGATTTAATCAACAGTGGATCCATTGAAGGGGTTGCTTCAAGTGCAAACCTAAGGATAAATCTGCCTAGACACTGCTGTCTCCCTCTCCTTGCTAACAGTAGATGGGCCTAAGCATAGCTATTTAATTAACAAATACCTAGTAAATAGGCTAAATTACATTCTCCAGGCAGCCAAAAATTACATTAACTTTGTACCATAAGACTTGCTCCAAAACAAACTTTCTCCTTGCCTTTGGCCTTTCTCACAAACACACACAGAGATGAAATATCTGTCAGCCCCTGGGCCATAAGGCAGAGGAGGCTCAGTGAGGTTCCACGTCCCCTTCTTAATCCACCATCCTGCCTGCATCCTTCACTCAAACCCCCTCACTGCTTCCCCTCAGACGCTTTCTTCACACCACCGTTCTCTGGTGTGATGTGTGTGTGCATGTATGTATCACTTTGTGTGGCTTTTAAGTGAGTAGCGCTAAACTGATTAATTCAGAAAAAAAGACAAAGCTTTAAGAATGTGTCAAACTTCTTGACTCAATGATACAAAAAAAAGTGACAGACTAGAAGCGGCAATTCCCAGCCTCAGTCCAGCCACATTAAAGTTTCTCCGCTTAGTTAAATATCCCACAGAAAGGCTGCCAAGAAGGCCTTCGTGGAGAGACTGTGCATATGAGTGTGTGATTACAAGTGTACCTTCTCCAACAAAAGTGTACCTGGTGAGAAGCAAACAAAGTACAGGTTGATCCAGAGCTGGATCCATAAACCAAAGACACGTTTGATGTGTTAAAAATGGGCGAGAGTGCAAGCCAGAGGGCAAAAAGAGCCAAACTCACACAGAACAGGAAGACCGCCTTTCTTTTCATCATTTTTATAGCCTCATCCAGCTTCCTGAATTACCCACACTTCACTCACTCCCCGTTGGCAAGTTCATCCCATGACACACATTCGAGTGAACCAGGAGACCCCATGCCAGCTCTAATGGTCTACATCTAAGCAAGCTACTGCTGAGCTGATAGCAGGTCAAACCCACTAGACCCACTGACAGTTTCATATTGTTAAGCTGCGCTGAAAAGCACCTTAAATTGATTGGCATGATCTGTGCTGACAGACTGAAGAGCATGCTAATATGGAGATACCGGCTTAAAAAGACATTTAGGAGGGGATCGGTGCCTTTTGGATTTGTAAAACTGTTCAAAAAATAATATGTGAATTAAGGTCAATGAATTTTTTTTTATTTCCAACTCCATCCCTTCCTTTCATTTGATAAATTATGGGATTTTGAACTTGAAGATGTTTTCAAGGTTTGGCGTTTGTGGCACTGTAATAAAAAGTGTGCCATTACTGGCATACACAGATTAAGAAAAGTGAAAATAGCTTTTCAGCATTTAGTGGTTTGTGCACAGCGTCTTTCACTGCAGCCACACACAGCACACAAATACTTATGGTTAAAAATACATTAGATTTGGTCACTACTGTGTTATACAAGCACTCGTTGTTGAATTGAGCAAAATGACCACAAATGATATTAATGGGTTCTCATGAGATTTGGTAAATGGGGGACTTCTTGACTAAACATTGCACCTGTTTGAACACCAATGTGACTGTGCTGTGGGTCCAAATCCTACAGCTACCTGTGCTTTTAGGGGTGCCTTTGCTCCAGCTTGTAGAGGGCTCTCCACTAATTTCACCTAAATATCACTTCACTCGCATGGCAGCACATTCTTGTTTTACTGCAAACTTTTAAAACTTTTAAAAACTATGCTCCACCACTCCTCAGATTCATACAGTTTTAATCTGTGAGTCTTCTGCATAATCTTCTAAACCAACAATGTCCACAAGCACATCTTTCAGCATGCCTCCATTTTACTTGCATATTCTTTTGGAACTGCTCACAGAGGCAGATCACTGCTGGAGAAGAAGACTGATGGCTGAGGCGAGAAAAGAAGCCGTCGCCTTTATGGGTGAAACGCAGCTGTGAAGAACTGGAAGACAGGCATATGTAGCATATAGCTTTAGGCACAAATTGCTGGGATCCATATTAGCATGGAAGGCTAAATAAACAAGGGCATTAGGTGGAAGCCGTTGATTGACAAGGAAATGAAGATAATAAATACTGGAAAGGATCTTAGATGAAAATAAACATATGCTTCTATTCCCATTATGGGAACATTTAGTGGAATTACACTTTAATTATTTCTATAGTTCCACTTGTATATTATGAATGTATAATTTCTATGTCAAGCCAATACTATGAAAATATGAGGGTGTCTAAGGACTTCATCCATTTATCAGCTGATAAAGACACAGTTAACAAGACATCTGGTATCAGTAAGTAATCTGTGAAAAAAGAGGACTGTATAACTATTTCGACCGCTCTGATTATTTAATATTTTGTGGGCTAAAACACCATCATGTGGGTTTTAATCAGGTGCAGGGCAAAGCGAGCTCAGGGCCAATGGCTGAGTAAGAAGGGCTCTAAGCGTCTCTTGGCTGAGCTGTAGAAGTGTGCGTTCTCTTTTGTAATAATCGATTCCCAAATATGTCTCACGACAGCCCAGAGGTCATGGAAACCAAACAAAGCTCTAGGTGGCTGAACTAATTCGATCCTCATCTCTGGCACAAGGTGTGAGAATCAGTGGCATGAGCTGCTGGGCTGCTTCTCTGGAAGAAAACCGGCACGAGTCAGATTTCAGAAGCACGAAACATTTCCAGAATACTAAATAATACCTTTCCTTGTCATCGGCCTCCCTGAATTTTCCCAGGTTTCCCTTTACTGTACCCCCTCCAATGGTTGCCTGTGGCTGTTAGTATCTAATTCACTGTCCTAGTGCACTGCCAAAAGAGGTGCAGTCCAGCTTTTTTTCCATTTTTTCAACCTGAACACACCGACTCATTCTCTGCAGCCTGTTTCTTACCCTCCCAATTTTGCCCTTCTCTAATCAATTACATCCCCACTGCAAGTCTGTTGCCTCTGCCTTCCCTTCATTGCTGACTCATAATTCATCGAATCATTGGTATTTTAAACACCTTTATCCCCTATCAGGATGACCTGATAGGCATCAAATGAAAGTGGTGCAAATCTCACTTCTTACTACTTTTAAAACCACTGACACACACACAGCAGGCGGTGAAGTGAGCAACGTGGCTCCCCTGGTGGACGATCGCTGTAATATCATCGGTCCTAAAACATGACAACATCACTGTTTGTTACATGAGGGCGACGGATGTTATTACATGTTATTACGTGTTATTATATCATTGATGTTTTTGTCATTGTCAAATAATCTGGCATAATCTTGGGAGGAATGGCGGGTAACAAAAGAGAGGAAAATTCCTCTGAGCCCAATAAAAACATTTCCAGATATATCTGTGTTCAGCTAAGACAAAAACAAACATAAGGGATATGTGAAAAGAAAAGAAAAAAATCAGTCAAACGCCTCAGCTGGTATTCTCCCACAGTGGGTGAAAAATGCACATACGCATAAAACACCTCTGTAAGTGGCTGCTTGAAACACTGACTGTGTAATCTGACGGGCTGTGGGAGTTAGCAGTCTGGGCTCACCAGTCAGCTGGTAAACGGGAATGTGGGAGCAAGACTTTTTTGACTAGTTGCCATTGTTTCTACTCCAGCCAGGAGTCGGACAGTCACTCCTCTCAGCAGTGCAGAGGTCCAAAGAGCGATGTTTTGTTTTTCTTTTGCAGTTAGGCAAGCGAGGTGAGATTCACCTAACTTTATTTTAAACTCTGATTGTGTTAATCAGGAAGCATTAAAACGACCTTGCTCATCCCCTCGCGAGCAAATAACCACAGGAATTTGAGGAATGCTGTGAGAACGATGTTGCAGCTAATGGAATTCATCAGAAGCCACAGTGTAAACAATTTTATGGAACCCAACTTTGAATGGTCGTGGAAAAGCCATCTTCGTGTCCCGGGTTATTTTAGTTACATCCTTAATGAGTGGCAGGTGATCCACATGTTGAAAACAGTGTGTTATTCCAGCACAGCACAGCAGAACAGAACAAGCACAACCGAAACAACTTTTATCTGAAGATGCTTTTCTTAATCGTTCATTTCGAAAGTATATAAAGTCACAGCAGTAGATTCTCCCATGTAAAAACCCGAGTAATTATTCACCGCAAGCCTGTTTTTGTCTATCCTGCGTGTTGCACAGTACCACTTTTTATTACAACTGTTCACAAGAAAGCAGTGTCACCAATCCCACCCGAGAAGTCAGCAGCCCTTTCTCATGTTCTTGACACAAAACCTCTCCTCTTACCTTTGTGCTTCTCCATTCGCTCGCCCCTTCAGCTCTCATAAAACGAATCAATCCCGACGAAACTTTGCGGCCAAGTTCCTCAATGATGGCACTACTTCTGCAACTAATGCGGAATGTAGCCCGACCCTCCCGTTTTCAACAATACACTGACTGAGCCGGACACGCTGAGTTGTGACGGAACAACAGCGCTCTCCTCTTGTTCCTCATCTCTCTTTTTTGCCACACCTCCTCCACCTCCAAGTTTGCAGCATCCAGACAGAGACTACGTCGCTGCTTCAAGACCATCATCCAGGTGTCACTCAAACATCCACGCCCGTAGACTTTCAGTGACAAACTGGGGGAATGAGCTGTCTTTAAGGGCATTTAAATGCGTGCGCTAAAGTGGAAACTAAAGGGAAGTCTGCGTATCCAGAAGCTCATTTTATCTGTTTCTCTGCTGTGCTTCAGTTGCCTATCTTGGGTCGAATAAAAGGCTAATGCTAAAGAGAGGAACCCTGTTTCATGTCAATTGATTATGTTTTTGCCGTAACATAACAAATCCTCAGGCAAACACCAGAAATCCTCCAAATCCAGAAAGGTAGAAACTGCTGTTTACCAAATCTTGGATTGGCATCCTTGACTGCTAATAAGCACTCACATGAAAGTGAGTTCCTGTCGCCTTCCAGCTCTCTCGTTCTCTCCTGTAGCAGAAAAGTGAAGTTCTCTGCCTAAACAATCGAGAATCCCCGTGGGAGAACCGTGACCGGGTGGAAGTATGGGAGGAATGTGAAGCGGAGTAGCAGATCATGCTCCAGAAGATGATTAAAACGCACGACACGCACTCTGGTATTTGAAGACGTGAACATATTGTGTTTATTCAATGCAGACACAGAATATGAATATGTAGGTGAATATAGAAGAGAAAAAAAAGCAACGTTTATTTAAAAAATAAACAAAAAGGGGGGTTAAAAAGAAAAACATTCTAAAATATTCAGTGACAGCAAAAGAAAAACATGAAATAACCAATAGTTCTTTAAAAAAAAAAAGATCTAAAGGAACCATGACAGGAATAAAACACAGCCTTCGGATAGAACAATGTTTTATGGCTCCTACAGATCTTGGCAGCTTCAGGAGCCCATCAGCAGTCACCTTGAGAAAAAAACAACCACTTTCAGTGTTCTAACTAAAATTCCTCAACCAGAGAATTTTCTTTTTGTTTAATTTCTCCCTTTGCTATTCCAACAATTTTAGAACCTGTCAAGATGCTATCCAGGAAGTATATAAGTAGAAAGCAGGTCTTCAGCATGTCTTGACTTCCTGTTGAGCCACTTCAAGAAGGATCTGCAGCTGCTTGCTGCAATAATCTGGGAATGTTGGAGAAACAGTATTATGCACAGGTCAAGAAGTGCTCTCTTTCTTAAGATGTTTATCTTTCTGTCTTCCTAAAGAATGGTCTGACCCAGCTCAGAGTCTGATGACTTAATAATAGCCCAAGGTTCGTGTTTCACATACAGTGCTGTGAAGATGTTATGTATCACTTCCTGATTTCTTACTTGTGTCAAGCCAGTCTCAAATTGGAGGCTGGCTTGACACCAGTGATTTCTTCTATTTATTTTTTTGGTCACACTTACATGTTTCCCATGTTTCTTCAAAAAATGTATAATCTTAGACAAAAATAACACCAATCAATCCAAAATGCAGTCTTTAAACGATTATTTTGTTTATTAAGGCAAAAATGTTATCCAAACCTTCCTGGTGTAAAAAAGTAGTTGTCCTAAAAACTGGTTGTACCAATCTTAGAAGCAAGAACTGCAATCAAGACTTTGCGAGAACTGACAATGAGTGTTTTACATCGCTGTGGAGGAATTTTGGCCCATTCGTCTTTGTTGAATAACATTTTTCCCTTAATAAATCAAATTTTTAATAAAAAGTGCATTACGTGGAAAACTGGAAAACTTTGTGGTTCCTGTGTTATCCACATTGTGGTCACTGTATTTTCAAAATAAAATATTTAAATAAATAATGAAATTATCGTTCTATTATTATTGCTTACACCTCTAATATAGGACTTATGGGTATTTGTAAGATAGTGATAGGAGTATGGAAGTTTCAGCACTACTACAAATAAAAGTGTCCGTGTTCTGCAAGGAGTTGATTTCAGTCATTAACCTCCTCATTCACAGGGATGTTTTGTAACAAAATGAGTATGCATATTGCATGATTTCACTTCCAGCTGATGGAAAACCACCTAGATTTTACACGCAAACAGGTGCTAGACTTCCCCATCAAAATAATCTGATAATACATTTTAAGGCAAAACTGCAGTGACGCAGTGTTTTCACAACAACCACGTGTTTCTGTGAGAGACCTAGTCCATCTTGCAGGACAGATGGACTAGGACTTCAAATGCTTTGCAGGTATGAGACTTACTGAAGATTCGCCTCCATGTGGGGGGCAAGCAAAAGTGGTAGATGGTCATGTAGTAAACTGGAACCCCAGACAATGTAACTACACAACTACATCCTGTGTTCCAAAGGTCCGAGTAAAGAGAGAGACCCACGATGAAGAAAGACACCGCTGTGAAGGTGACTGCGACGACCAACGGCACCTTAATGTTAATAACCACAATGTAGCAAATACATAAACAAACAAACCAATAAATTGTTCAGTTTAACATGTAGTAAGACAAAAAGGCTTTGCAATTCAGTACAATATGCTAACCTTAAAAGGTCTAGGGTGGAGGGGGAAACGATATCGATGGATGAGCATCCCCAAGGTTGCCAAGGCAATGAAGAACCAATGAGAAAAGGAGGTAAGGCTGATGAGCTGGGAAATATCTCCACTGATTAACATGATCACCATCAGTGGGTACTGGAGACACACAGAAAACAGAGTAACTCTTATGTCACTGTTACACACACAGTGATTAAATACACAGAATCAAGAATCATCTCATATCTTTTTAAGGTGAATTAAATATACAATTTAAATATATTTAATAAGATATTTACGATAAAATATTAGGACTTATTCTTGGTTGAAATTAAACATTCTACTTTGAGAGTATTTGACCAACGCCTTGTCTTCTGTACTTTATTTTCAAAGCATTTTACTATTTATTTATGCAGATGACTGGTTTATAATGTGTGGACAGCTCTTTACCATTAACAGCAAAGCAGGTAAAGGTGTGTGTCTGCGGATATGGATTGTGGAAAAGATCTGTGGCCAGTAGCCCTCTCTGGCTCCAACGAAAAGCATCCTGCAAGACAGGATGAGTTCAAAGCCACAGAAAAGATGGCAATAATCATGTTTTACGAGGTCAGAATACCTTGGTGACACAAAGATGCCACCATTAAGTGTTCCGAGGCAAGATAAGGCCACAAGTACTGGAATTACAGAATCCAATCCCTGAAGAGCACAGGTGGCGAATGTCTGCGGGACAGAGAGCTTATCACACAAACTCTGTACACACATCACTCTGATTTTTCTTTTTTAATACAGTACAGAATATGATGTACCACAGCCACAGCATCAGACAGCAGCAGCTCAGTGGGAGCCAACATAGTGTAGTAGGCCACATTAACAAGCACATATAAGACTGTCATGGTCACCATAGACGAGATTATTGCCAGTGGGATGTTTCTGTAAAGACAGGATACAGACAGAGTGATATAAGAGCTGCAGCCAACTTGGTCTGAGAAACAAAAAATGAAGATGCAATCTACCTGCTTGGATTTTTGACCTCTTCTGTGACAAAGTTCAAATAGAACCTAAAGAAAAATAAGGAACGACACAGGCATCTGATGTTTGTAACAGTATGATTTAATGGACTGTACAAAGCTAAGCAAAATAGTTTTGTATAAATTATGGTAAAAAAACAAACAAAACCCAAACATGTTAAAATCGTTTGTATTTGTAGCAGCTCTCCTGATATAATATGTTTGCTTACCATCCACTGTAGGCATATAGGCCATTATAGATGGCGAGTGGCAGCCTGTCTAATGTTAATGATTCAAACTCAAAACCATTCTGGAAGTTTTCAGTCTTTCCTGCAAAAAGGATGATACAGAAAGAGATAGTGACAACCAACTGAATGCATTGTAATGATTATTATTATTATTATTGTTATTATTATTATTAGTGGTAGTAGTAGTAGTACAAAATCAATTCTGCAAAATTTGGGTTGCTGTGTAAAAATGTACAAAAAACGATGCAAGAATTTACAAATCTTATATTTTGTGCACAACTGAACATGGAAAATATATTAAATGATCACACAGAGAAAATCCCAGTCTCTGAAAAGCAATGTCGTATTTTCAATTGAACATAAATTTGGGCCAAAGCCATGTTTTACCACTGTGCAAGAATGTTACATTATTCTGATTTTTTTTTTTTGCAGAGTAGTGAACCTCTGCACATTTCTACTTCTGAGAAACTCTCTAAAATGCTCTTCTTATATCCAGTCATATTGCTCATTTGTTGCTAGTTAACCTAATTAGTTCCTGAAGCTGGTTCTTTTTAGTATTTCTTACTTTTTTTCAGCTTTTTTTCAGTATTTTTTATTTTCTTTTTTGGGTGGATCTTTACAGTTAGGAAGTCTGTGTCTTCAGAAATAACAATTACGTGTTCCCACCTTTGACCAAAGCAATGACGCCAGGGATGATGACGAGGACTAAAGCAAACATCTTAATGAAAGTCAAAGAGACCTGGATGTGAGATGCCAGGCGCACACTCCAGCAGTTGATTGCCACAAGAAATGCTACAGAGACACAAAGATAAACAACTGGCAAAATAAACTATTGTGGTTAGTATAATACAAACATGCAAAAAGAAAAAATACAGGACTGTGCAAAGTTGTTGAGTCATTCTTCATCTCTTTATATTTTGCAAGGAAAATGGGAAATAGATGAATGAGTAAAATTTCTGCACGCATGGAAATATGTGTTCTGTTTGGAAGTATATAGGCAAAACAAGTTTGTACAAAATTGCAGAAACTTGTTTTTACAATTTAAATGAGCTTTAAAGATTTGGTACTCCGACCTTTATTCTTGAACTCCCAAGTTCTCCAGGCTTCTTGAAGGACATGCAAAGATCTTCTTTACATGTTGGCTGCCTCCTTTTCTTTCCTCTGTCAAGCTGATTTTTGTCAAGTTCAGATCTGAGTTCTGATCTGAGTCCATGACTGATAGTTTTCAATTGTGTGTTTTTCTATTCACATATACTTTTACTGCTTTGGCAGGGTATTTGGGATCATTTCAAGCTGAAAAATGAAAATATTCCCAGTCAGATACTTTCCAGCTGATATTGAAAGGTTTATAA